CAGTTCTATTGCAGTAATCAGGTCAGAATTAAAATAAGTTGTAAACGCTTCCCGATAGATAGGTAATCTAAGTTTGGCAAGTAATTAATCGGGGTTCCTTGGATAGTACAAAGTGTTAGACCGAGGACACATATAGAGATACACGAACATATGAAGACACACTTTGTTATCAGGCGAGGGAACCGAAGCTATCGGCACAGTCACGGTAGTTTAAATGCATTTAGTCAGTACTTGTAAGTCTATTAAGAATCACTTAGGATGTCTCAAATGATTCTTTATAATGTATATTTCATTGAATAAAAAATTACGTTCAAATCGTCTAAAATGAATTATAAAATATAGATAATGGTGTCGAAATAATCCACTTAAAATATTATTTGTCTACCCATTTCATTATAATTTAATTATTTTTTTATCTTGATTTGTTTCATCTTATCTTGAGTACATACCTACAATACAAAAACTGGAATGCATTGGCATCATTATTTGAGGAAACGTAAATACGAGTACATATTGTTATTACGAGTATAACATAATACTCATCAAATTGATATAGGAAACAATCCAAAAATTGTTAAAACTTTAATAACAACTCGTTCGTATATTCTTAAATGTTTTTATGTTTAATGGGTGCACTGATCGAAAAACTAGTTTTAATATTAAATTCCAAATATTATCTATTGTTTAAATTTCATAATACATTCTTCAACTCAAACATAATATTTTGCAGACCAGTTCTGTGTCCAAACCAAAGCATTTTAAAAAATACATAACTTCCACTCCTTGATCACGTAGCCAATATTCCAACACATATTCTGTCTTTCAATTCGCAGCGTCTTACCTTGTCACATTCAAAAAAATTAAAAATAATTTCTAACGAATCTTCGCTTCATGTTATGTGCTAGTTAGTTGGACGAGTCCATTCTACAATAACAAGGGGAGTATTGCGCTACTATTTTGGATTTGTTCCCTATGTTATTTTAATGAGTGCATTATATTACCGTAAATACCCTGATCTTACTAAAACTTGTATAAATATTATGGACTATAATATATAATAGTAGGTAAATGTTAATCTAGAATCGGCAAAGCAAATCAAAAGGGCTTGTGTCTTTTTAGTCTTTGAATTTATTCACTATTATTTAGAAAATAAGACTTAAACACTCTGTTTGGTATAAACCATAGCACATTTGTAATGGTGCGTAAAACTTTGGACTGGATGTATAGATACGATTTGTTTGTTGTTTTCCATAGTCATCCGATAGGTCCATATTGGTTTGAAAACTAATTTGCAGTCATGAGTGTCTGCCTAGGAGCCAATAATACTTGCTGTATTTGTGTGCCACCTGTTTCCTCTTTGTCAGGATGTGTTCTCCATGTAAGTCCCTTATCCAAGTGCAGGCCTAGGTATTTTACGCTACCTTTCATTGGTAGCAATTGTCCGTTAGATATATTATGGTGAAAGTCACTTTAACTGATTTTTGTTTCATACATTTTTATTCCTAATTTTCTTGCATATTGCTGAATTTTGTTAAATGTTCTGGTAGGCGTCTACCACCTTCGTTTGCATACGGATTTTATCCTAATATGCCTTTATCGTAAGAAAATGTGGTACTGATGAATTCTGCTAATTCAATTGGTTTTTTATAAAATCAAATACAAAATCCCTATTCAACATCGTAATAACTGGTGATTAAACATGGATATATTCGTAAGAGTCGGGAACTAAGCAACAATCAACTGAGTCCAAGGCGAACAAAATCTAACAAATTTTATGATTAGTTGAAGGAGAAAACCATTGAATTCACCTCTTAAACGATACAGTTTGTTAATGGTTTAACATGCTATAATGAATATTAAAAAGCTTAAAAAGCTTTAGGCTCTATCTGGTATACAGGGTGAGTCGGGAGGAGCGCACCAAACTCTAGGAGTATATTATACACGTGAAAATAATGTAAAAAAACTCATATGTTCTTATCCGATTTTCATTTGTTTTCAAGTTATAGCATATTAACAAATAAACAAATTTACACATAAAAATTCTCTTAAACATAGCATATTCTAAATTTGAATAAGTATCTGGCATTTTGCAACACTAACAATCACATAAATTCGAAATTAAACGTTCAGTTACTGTTCACTGTACACTGACAGTTCATCAAAACATCAGAATTATCAAATGCCTTTGAGCCTTGAACATATGGCATACTTTGATAATGTTAAAATTCAGAAGAGGAAAGCTAGATGAACATTTTTAATTACGCCATAACTTGAAAACAAATGAAAATCGGATAAGAACATATGAGTTTTTTTACATTATTTTCACGTGTATAATATACTCCTAGAGTTTGGTGCGCTCCTCCCGACTCACCCTGTAGATACGTACCACATTTTGACAGATAGTTGATCTACTGATTATTAAATGGCGATAAGTAAAATGTTTGTTTCTTAGAGAGTAGACAGTCGAAATGGGTATTAGGGTCGATGTTTAAGTCAAATACAACGGGTATATATGTATATGATCCATAATAATATTATGGTACATGTATATGTAGCAGCACTCGTTAAAGATGTGCCTTTATTTTATTGATTTATCACGTATCGACTTCTTTGTGTTCTCGAATGTCAAAGAAAAGCTACGCAGACAGCTATTTTTTTCAGCTAAAAAGCTATTGTAGACTTTAAACAACATGTTTTAGAACAACTTCTTTTAATATTCTTGATAAGGTGGACCCTTTTTAATGTCCACTTTTATTGTAAAACCCCTGGTTTGTTTTAATAGTAGGTATACTTTTAATGCAACATTCTTAAAATGGATTATTTGTAACAAAAATTACAATGAATGACAAGTATTTCAAAAAATATCTATTACCTTCAAAAGAGATATTAACAAAATTAAAAAAGCACGTAAGTTTCGTTGAATGATTTCCATGAAACCCCTCCGCACGGAATCCATTTTAAGAAATGTTGTTTTAGAGATACTCACCTAGAGAATAGAAAAAATGTACAGAAAATTGGTTCGAATGCACGCAGAGAATATAAAACGTAAAAGAAGAATATTTAGAACAGTAACGATTTGTACCTTGACTTTTTTTATTCATTGTTTTTGTAAAACCTAAAAGATAACCCTCGTATGTATGTGAGATATAATTCTTGCTCGGGTTAAACCGCTATGCAGATTTAGTAAGATTCAGGTCTCCTGCCTACTCCCATTATCCCTGGATTTGCCTGGAGTAGTCCATCAATTAGCGATTTAGTTATATCTCGTACATTTTATGTGAGAGCTGAGTACGTGACATCTTTAGATAAAAAATTTGAAAAATATCTCCTTTTAATTTAAGAATGTCTAGTATTAAAAATAAATTTTATTTGTAAATGAATCTGTTTAGAATATAAATAAGGGGACTAATTTTATTATGATTTATTGGCAAACAAGGGATTTGTTCACGGGGTGGGTGGCTCAGTGGTAGAGTCTCTGCTGCGGATCCAAGGGTCCCAGGTTCGAATCCCACCGTTGGCCGAAATTTTTTCATTTAATTATTTAAAATTAATACTGATGCCTTGGTAGGATTCCCCACTCGACCATTCACTGTTGGATACTAATTAACAGTGCTGTTCCTAAAGTGGCGCTGGGAAACAGTAACAAAGCCTACACAAAACACGAGGCTAATAACCGTAGCAGTTGATGCCGATGACACAAAAAAAGGGATTTTTTTTTACAAGGGGGGTAGCCATGTGTGAGTTGAGGTAATTTTAAGGTGAAGGGGGAGAAAAAGTCGTTTATATCTCACAAGGAAAGTCAATGTTTAATTATTTAACAAAACATTGAGTGCGACCGGTTTCGAAGTGTCATCACTTCATCTTCAGGCTCGCCTAGTGGAAAGGAGAATATGTGGTGTAAGGTGTGTTAACTTGGAGCAAACGATATATAAAATAGTAAAAAAGAGAAAACTCACCATACTCTCCATCCACTAGACTAGGGAATACTACAAAACAAGTTTCATCAAATGTGGGGTGAAATAAATTGTAAAATGAACAAAGTTTACAAGTAATAAATAGTTAAAAATATTTGAAAAAACAAATATTAGTCAATTGAAATAGTAAAAATTTAAAATATTCAAGACCATACAAAACAAATCACATACATTAAACAGATTAAAAGATAAGGCTTATTTTAAACAACCTTATTGTTTTTTCAAAAAACTAACATTTTTGAAAGGAGACCTGTCAAGTTAAGGCCTCTACAGGTGGTGGCAAGTATTAACAAAAAAATTCTTGGGTAAACCCATGACAGGGTATAGGTAATAAGATGTAAACCATGAGTGAAAAAAAATTTTTTCCCACAAGAAACCAACGAGCATGTTTAAAGATTAGGTTAGATTGTGTGATATTCACATCCGTCATTTTCTTCTTTTCTTCTTTTATTCTTCAGTTGCTTCACAACAGTTAACCCAGTCATTTCTTCTTCTTTCTTCTTCCTACAACATCACATACACTTGGTGATTGGTTCATGGCCCAAATCTTATATAATAAATAATAAATATTTCTTCACTCATGGTTTACATCTTATTACCTATACCCTGTCATGGGTTTACCCAAGAATTTTTTTGTTAATACTTGCCACCACCTGTAGAGGCCTTAACTTGACAGGTCTCCTTTCAAAAATGTTAGTTTTTTGAAAAAACAACAAGGTTGTTTAAAATAAGCCTTATCTTTTAATCTGTTTAATGTATGTGATTTGTTTTGTATGGTCTTGAATATTTTAAATTTTTACTATTTCAATTGACTAATATTTGTTTTTTCAAATATTTTTAACTATTTATTACTTGTAAACTTTGTTCATTTTACAATTTATTTCACCCCACATTTGATGAAACTTGTTTTGTAGTATTCCCTAGTGTATGGAGAGTATGGTCTGTTTATAAATAAATAATAGTGAAACAACACCTGATCAACAGGTCATTTGTAACACGATAACAAAACGTAAAAAAAATTCTTACCGTCTGCTTGTGGTGATTCATCGTTACACGTACCTACAAAACAAAATAAGGAAATTAATATTTTTTTAATAATCATCAACTTGAATAGGTGGAGTAAAATTATTGTGCGATAACGTAAATCACAATAGAGATTAATATCTATTACTGCGAATTAAATACTATTCTTTTTCTACAACTATTCGTAACGCAATTTAAAATTAACTTCATTAGACAGGACAGGAAGTTTTACTTTAAAGTCAGTAACGTACAACCAAAATTCCTCAATAGCAATAAATGTATATATTTTGATACGCCCTAATTGTGTTTTCAAAGATTACATTTTATTTTGATGTAATGTTTTTATTCTTTGGAAATTCCCAATAAACTTTTCAAAATTACCCTTATGAAATAATGAATATTAATTTTGAATTCTGTTGAATAAAAATGAGGATAAAAGAGATAAAATATAATATGTTGAATATGTGTTATGTTTTTGTTTTCTTTTGTAATTATTGTAAAATAATAAAAATATTAGTCAGTTTCTAAATCGCTTCTATCTACTATTTATTCAATTTAGTTTACTATTTTCAATAAACCCACAAAGTGAAAACAAATTAGTTGAAAAATTTTAAAAAATCTATTCCCGGATTGGATTCGAACCGTCCATAACATCGCTTTAAGCGAGGGGGACAACCAATAAGGTCAAAATGTACCTGTATTTCTAAAAAAAATTTATGAGATTTCGGTGATTTCGCTTAAAATCCACCTTAATTTTATACGATGACTTTTTTTTACTATTCCCGATCCACAAGCTGCTGCAGTTACGTTTTTGAAGGTACCATTTCGGTAGGCGCGACAGACGACCGCCGACGCGACATACGACCGCTGACGCGACCGAGAAGTGTCGCTTCACATCTAAAATACATACATATTATATGAAACACATTTCGCACGGCGCGACACGAGAAGTGTCGTCAAGACGACACTTCCTGTCGATACTTCTGAATCTGACTCGGGGAAAAGGTTTGCTGCCTGTCGCACTCGAGGTCACTGTCCTCGAGCATCGCTTCATTTTGGAGGTAAATAGGTTGAAAATTTCTTTCGATCTAGGCAGTGTTGCCAGATTTTGGAACAGTATGGGTGAAAAAAAACCGTAGATCGGAACAGTAGACTTTATTACAGGGGGAAATAATTAAAATTTGCAGTGTAGTAAATAAAAAAACAAGTATATAAGAAACGAAAAATAAACTTTTTTTCGACCCAAATTAGAAGGTAAACAAAGAATAAAAACAAATAATAACATTTTTAATATATACTTAACGTACGGAAACAAAAAAAAACAATGAAAAATAATAGGTACCTACTTCTTTTAGATCAGTCTGAATCAGATAATTCAAAATCGTAGTGTGCATGTCCTTTTTATGATGCCCTATTAATTCTGTTTCATTTTAAATAAAAACAATGATTTATCTTGATGTTTTTTTTTTATGGAGCCAACCTAGAGTAGTGGATGCTTATTACGCTGCTTTTACTGCAGAAAATTTACTAGAGAAAATATTCTTTAACCATTTGCTGAAGAATGAGGCAAACTTAATAAATTAAGAACAAAATTTGCTAGAGACAAAAACAGTGGATCTACGTAAAAACAGTAGGTGGCAACGCTGATCGTTCCCTCGAATGGTTATCCTGCAAGTGTCGCGCGACACTTCTCAAGCTTCCGAAATGTACGAAGCGTAACATTTATGCATCTGTCGTCCTACTCGACCTTGGGGTCGCCTTAGTGGTCTCTTGTCTCCTGACGCGCCTACCGAAATGGTACCTTGAGCGATGATTCGATCATGATTTTCGATGATGTTTTCGGAATTTTCGAGAAAATTTGTAGTTATTTCGAGTGAAAACGTACCAGTATTTCGGGAGTGGTTTACCCCTCGATTTTAGACATGCTGTCTTACCAACTCGGCTATCAGGACATTATATGCCCGGTGTCCGAATTGGTAAGTTGTATATTATATTCGAATCTTACAGCCTCATATTTTATTTTATTTGCGTTTAGTGATAAAAAAAAAACGTTCTTAAGAGTGGTCGCCGATTCCGTTGACCCAAATAATGTATTTTCATACCGGAGCTCAACGTGTTAAAATTTCATAAGAATTATCAAATGCCTAGTTTGAAAGATTCGTGATACATGATCACATACCTAGTTTCCATAAAGTACTAATTATTTAACAATATTTGAGCGTGACGGCACGCCTTTAGTAATCAGGGTCAGCGAAAGATATTTTCTAGGGTAATTTGATAAGATAAAAAATGAATTTATATTCATTAGTTCTTGAATGAATCGGAGAAAATCATTGTTAGATGAAGTGTGAAATGATCGATCTTACATTTAATTATTTCATCCGATTAACATTTACTCGTTTTTATTTAAAAATCTGTCTTGAGTTCTCGTTTAAGTTCCGACGTGCATTGAAACGTCTGTGACATCTCAGTTTCGGTTGTTCAACTGCAGATAACTTTGTTATTGAAATGATAATTAGTTTTCTATAAGTAGACAGGCACATAATTGACAAATTAGAAAACACTGAAAAGCATTCATTTCCAGTAAATTTCTACTATTATTTGGTGTGAAATTAAATGTCCGATGCTTTCTTGTGATATTAATTTAATCACCTAGTGCAATTTGTCACAAGACATTACAACGAAGAACTTTTTCAAACAAATTTTGTTGTAAAATATCCATTAGTTTGCAAAAAACTTAAGACAAATAATAAAACAATTAAAAGAAAACAGACGAGGACTTGCCTTGAAAACAGAATTGTAAATTGCAGAAGCCTAAAAACCTCACGCCTTGTTTTGTCATGAAGTAAAATAAATAAAAACACTGAAACCTGGTCAATTTTTCATTTATCTCTAGTTGTTATGGGGAAGGAACCTTTGATTATTACTTAATCTAAATCTGTATTTTTCCTATTAATTTTCAGACCATTTGCCTGCATTTCTTCACTTATCTAACATGTTAAGTTTTCCAACGAATACACTGATCTACATACTTGAGCTCTTAGTACTTTTTCCTGTATATCGCCCATGTTATTATCATTAACAAGAGAATACAAATGAACACAATATTGAGCCTTGATACGGACCAACCTTCGCCTCGAATTCATTCGTATCTCCAGCGACCGTCCTCATATTGTCTTTATCCTCTTCGCTTACAGTATTTTAAAAGCATGGTATTATTATGTACAGATTGGTTCAAAGACAATCTTAAATCGATTGACTTTAAATTGTTTTTAAAATATAACTTGATTTTATAACAAGGAAGAGACAAAAGAAAAACAAGGCAAAGGAAAAATTAGTCAACTGACGATGCACTGATTAAAAGTTCATAGTTGTCTGAAGCACTACTTGATTTAAGAGTCATTGAGACATTCTTTTGAATCCTTTTTATATGGTCGTAAACCCAGTCAATTATATTCCACAATTTTATTATAATATGTTGGAAGAATGTACAGAGTTTTTCATTATGACCACTACTCATCTTCATTATTCGTGTGAACACAAAAACAACTTTTTTGGCCACAATATAATCCATTACAACTTTTAATAAACAAACAAGTGTTTCACTTGGAAACATCATTTTCATGTATTACGCTTTAATAGTGCAATAAGTAACTAAATAATTAAAATATTATATATTTGTAGTCAGGAAATACAAATATATAGGGTGTCCCATTAAAAAAATGAAATTATATTTTGCATATAAACATTATATTTTGTATATACAATTTTGCCAGTTTACATTTTTAGTCGGTACAGGTAAAACAACAAAGCATTTACTTAAAACTTTTTTTTGTATTCGCAATAATAATGATAATAAGTAGCGGTCAAAATATAATGTAAAACCCTGTACAAAATCTTTGTACTTTTTCCTAGTTTAATTTAATTGCGCGTGAATATTGTTTGAATCGAGAATAACGTTTAATGGGAGCATAGCTACAGAGCACTTGAACTATTATAATTTGATTTCGCTCTTTTGGTAGATAGTTTTAATATTCATTGTTACACTTTGTATATTTTGGTAGTATTTTTTTTGTCTCTATATTGATCCTTTGGTCATTTTTGTTGTATTTGCATATACCCAGAAAGCCTTTTTTGTGTTCCTTGAAATGAGTTCTTTTTCGACTATTTGGGGTAGTTCTATATTTCCATAAAGAGGTGAGTCAGCTGAAGCTTATTTAACAAGGTTGGTTGAATAGAGGCTCTCAGTGGGAGTTTTTCGGGTCCCACTGAAATGATCGTGCAGCCAATTTATGTAGGTTTTAGGGACTTTATTTTTTTAAGATCCCAGCATTAAATAAATATTTGGAGAGATGTGAGTAAAATATGGGCGCCGACAAAATTTTTTTTAGGGGGATGCAAACAATTTTGAAAAAGTGGTGGGGTTGAGAGTGAAGGTTAACTTTCACTACAAATATTTAGGTAATTAAGGTAATTCTTAAAAAAAAAAATAATAAAAAATATAAGAAATATTTGTTCCGTGGCCTAAAAAATAGGGGAAAAAATTCAAAAGTTAGTTTATGTCAAAATATTACTTTCTTAAAGAGCACATTGTTCATCAAATTTGAAAAAAAAATTTAAAGGCGCTTTAAATTTATGACAAACTTTGAATTTTGATTTAAATCTCGGTAACTAAGCCCTTTAAGGGTCCATGTTCCTACAACAAAATTCAACAATTAACGAGAGCTCTTTGGGGTACTGTTGTTGGTCGAATATACAAACATCCTGTATAATGTTACATTATATTAAATATATAATTTTATAGTCATATGTTACACCAGTATTGGTTGGAGTTTTTGGAGTTTCGTGCAATCGCCTAAGGCCGACTCTGTTCTTCTAATTTCTTCTTTTTCTACTTTCGCTGCTCTTTCGCCTCGAAGACTCGAGAAAGTATTTAGAATGTTGCTTGTACGCAGTCCGACACGTGTAGGTTGGATTTCGAGAACTTCTAGTCTAACATCGAGCTTCTAGTCAGGATTGGTTTTTCTAGGCTTTTA